GAGGGAAAGGAAAGGAAAGGGGAAAGGGGAAAGGGGAGGAAGAAGGGAGAAAGGGAGGAAGGAGGGAGGCAAGAGGAAGAAAGAAGAAAAGAAAGGAGGAAGGGGAATGGGAGAGGAAAGGGAAAAGTGAGGGGAAAGGAAAATAAAGGAAGAAGGGAGGAAAGAGGGAGGGCGAGAGGAAGAAAGAAAAAAAGAAAGGTAGGGAGAGGGAGAGGGTGGGGGGGGGGAGAGAGAGAGAGAGAGAGAGAGAGAAAGGAAGGGAGGAAGGGAGGAAGGGAGGAAGGAAGGAAGCAGGGCTTTTCACTTGCTTTTGCTGCCTTCTGCATGCCAAGAACTGTTTCTCCTGAGATGCTCCTCTGCCACATCACCCTGCCTTGGAGCCAGCCATGAACTGAAACTTCTACCAACTGTGAGTTAAATAAACCTTTCTTCTTTTAACTTTGGGTGTCAGGAATTTTGTCTCAGCAATGAGAAAAGTAACTAAGACACACAGTAATAAAAACTTTACCAGACCTCAGTGATTCATCTCCCAGTAGCAAAATATGGCCATGTGACTGAGTTCTGTCTAATGTGATACAAGTGGAAAGAGAAAACTTCCACAAGTGTCCCTCAAGCATGAGGGTACAACTAGAAGACTATGTCCAAACAACTGCATATAATACATCCATTATTCCTGTTCAAATTTTGTGCCCCGGGCAAAGAACTTGGGTTCTTGCGCTTGCAAGGCAGGCGGCAACACCACTGAGTTAAATCCCCAGCCCTCTACTTTCTTCCAAACCAATAGCTAACTAACATATCTATCATCTACTTACAATTCCATTTGACATGAGATGATGCCAATGTAATTTTCTACCACTATGATTTTTTTTGTAAAATTCTTCCACTTCAGGACCGGGCAAAGAACTTGGGTTCTTGCGCTTGCAAGGCAGGCGGCAACACCACTGAGTTAAATCCCCAGCCCTCTACTTTCTTCCAAACCAATAGCTAACTAACATATCTATCATCTACTTACAATTCCATTTGACATGAGATGATGCCAATGTAATTTTCTACCACTATGATTTTTTTTGTAAAATTCTTCCACTTCAGGAATCAAATCTTCCAGTTCAGTAGGAAGTGAAACAAAGACTTTTTCAGAGCTTCTTGACCAGGCACCAGCATTCAGAATTTTTATGTTAACAGAATCAGCTAAACGTAAGAATATGAGAAAATATAAAAAATTTTGACAATGGATAAAACTCAAAATAAATAACACACATCAAATTTTGTTTTTTGTGTTTTTTTAGTATCGGGGGTTGAACCTAGATCCTTGTGCTTGCAAGGCAGGTGGCAGAACCACTGAGCTAAAACCCCAGCCCTTAACACACATCAAATTTTGGTGAAGAACAAGTAAGACTCTAAAGATTTTATTAAAAGTGTTCTTTTGTTTTAAGACAAGGATTCACAAATCTAACATTCTGCTTTGACAGCTATTTTCAAAAAATGTATCTGGATCTAAGTCTGCTAATAATTTTTTTTTTGTTTGTATTTGCTTTTATTGAGACAGGGTCTCACTATGTAGTTCAGACTGACCTGGAACTCACTATGTAGCCCAGGCTGGTCTTGAACTCATAGCGATCCTCCTGCCTCAGCCTCCCGAGTGCTGGGATTACAGGCATGTGCCACCACGCTCCGCTCTAACAATTATTTTTAATTGCTAGAAAACAAAAATATTCTTATTTTAAAACATTAAAAAATACACACATCTATGCAATTATAAAATAATACCTGGTAAAGCCAACTTATTATTTTTGTGCATTTCCTTAAAAGCTTGGTTTAAATCTTCAGATACTTTTATGTCCTGAAACATTCTAGCAAGCTTGTTCACATAATCTGCTGGCATACCAACTTCCTACAGAAACCAAAGACAGAAAAGACAGAAGAGATAATAAATATATAATCTAATGTATTACTAAAGGAAAAAACTTTAAAAAGAAAACTGTTAGGTGCGTTAGTTCAAAGTTTTCCTTCTCTCCCTTGTTTACTGGAATATTTATAGTCTAACACTGATTAAATGTCATAGAAATTAAATAGGATAGATAGTACAGGTAGTTAAGCTTTGCACAATTTCAGTATATATCAGATTTCAGTTACCACAGTATTGTTAACATCAGTTCCAATAAATATAGTTCAACCTCTGGCTAATATATAATAAATGTACTTCCAGAGAGTAAAACTTGATTTGTAACTTCTGGATTCACAAATGAAGACAAAAATAACAGAAGGATAGACCTGAGGGTAACAGTTCAGTTAAAGAGATGTGTGCCTAGTGTGTGCAAGACCCTGGCACTACAGAAACAAACAAACAAACCCAGAAGTGTATCATGATCAGTGACCAAAGACAGTAATTCATTTGAATGACAGCTTGAGATGTAAATTGCCTGCCATGAGATTCATCCTTTAAAAGCCTATCACTGAGTAGATTTTAGTATATTCAGAGTTGCAAACCAACACCACTATCTAATATTAGAATGTTTTCATCACTCCAAAAAGAAATCCTATTTTATTTGCAGGAATGCCCCGTTTCCATTTCCTACAAATGACTAATGCTGCCATGAAAGCAGGGCATGGTGGTAAACCTCTGTAATCTCAGCACTTGGAAGGCTGAAACAGGAAGATATCATGTGTTTGAGGCTAGCCTAGTCTACACAGTCCAAGGCCAGTCTGAACTATAAAGTGAGAACCTGTCTCAAAATAGGAAAAAAAAAGATAGAAAACTCATAATGAAATGTCTACTGCTAAGGATGGAAGAAAACTTACTTTAGTTAAGTATAGTAGTTATTATTTCCTATCATCAAGATAGGAAGTATCATCAGATACTTCCCACATACAATACTAGGAATAAAATCCATATCCCCAGTCTCCTTCATTATGTAGACTGTGGTCTGGCCTCATACTCATTCTGTAACTAAGGTTAGCCTGGAATTCATGATTCTCCTGCTTCAGCATCCCCAGTAGCTGGGATTACATGTATGCTACACTGTATATGGCTTATCCTGTGGATGTGATTTGTGTTTTGCTAATGACTATTAACACTGAGCTATATCCCCATTTATTCATTCATTCATTCATTGGTACCAGTAATTGAACCAAGGGCCTTTGCACTAAGCCCTAACCTTTTTAAAAATTTAGAGACACAGCCCAACATGGTGGCACATGCCTACAATCCCAGCACTCGAGAGGCTGAGGCAGGAGGATAGCTGTGAGTTCAAGACCAGCCTGAGCTACATAGTGAGAGTGACCAGTGACCAGCCTGAACTACATAGCAAGATCCTGTCTCAAAAAAACAATAAATGAATGAATAAATAATTTAAAAAAATGTGGAGACAGGGTCTCCATCTCATTTCTTTTTACATTCCCTCTCCCTATCCCTTCCTGGCTACATGTCTTAAATGCACTTCAATTTTTTTTTTTTTTGTCAAAACTTTTCTTGTCAGATATATATAAGTAACACGTATTTAATATACTACAATTTTTTTTCAGTACCAGTAATTGAATTATTTTACAAATAAATAAAAAACTTTAATTCTAAAAGTTTCTTGTGTTTTAAATTATAATGTCTTGAGGGCCTGGCATGGAGCTCAGTGGCACCGCACCTGCCTTGCAAGCATGTTACTTGATTGATTGATATATACATATCTGACAAGAACAGTTTTGACCAAAAAAAAATTCAAACTGCATTAAAGACCTGTTACGTACTTGTACCAACTCCCCACAATGAATGTAATCATTATGTACTGCAAACACGTATTAATAAAAATTTTAAAGTATAGATAAAAATATTTTTAGAATTTAAAATTAAATGTTAATTATAATTAGCATTGATTTCTCTAAGTAGGACATCACCTAAAGGGTCTTTCTATATATTGTTGTTGTTTATTTGTAAACAACTCTGTAGTTAAGCATTTGGTATGCAAAGCACCTTAAAAATTAAATGATTATTGAGGTCTGTCAAATAAGAGTAAAAATAGGAGCTAAACAACAAAAACAAAGCAGGAACAAAGGCGCTTTACCACAAGACTTTGTTAAGCAAATTTAATGCATTAGGTATCTTTATTTTTGGTACAGGAGATTGAACTCGGGACCAGGCACTTGCAAGGCCCGCAGTGGAACCACTGAGCTAAATCCCTAGCCCTGTATTAGGTATCTTTATTATACTTGATGCTATCTATATTCTTAGAAATCATTTTTCTTTTTTGACATTAACAATACCATCAAAATACATATCACTTAAGTGTGCATATGAATGAATATGCTCCATTAGAAAAGCAAATATTAAAAAAAAATTACTTACTCTTAACCATTCCACCATATTTTCTTCAATTTCACTATCAGCAGAGATGTCTAATATAAGACGTCGTGTCAAATGAGCTTTATGATACCTCATAAAAACATCTTTGTTTTGTACGTACTTAAGTACCAGGAGCTGCATAAAAACAAAGTTACTTCTAATTCTTATATATTTTCATTCTCTAATTGTCAAAATTCAGAAATCTGGATAAGCATATACAAAGAGGTCTACTACATCAATTATTCATTTCTGAAAATAATTAGTGCAATACAGTACACTACTTTAACATTTAGCAAATTTGAGACCATCACCAAATGAATGCTTTAATCCCTAGATTAAAGGTATTCCAATTCACATAAAATGTGACAATACTTTACATGAAAATCAATGGCTCTTCCTCAATTTTCTTTGCTGTATACCTTCTTCACTTATTCTCTGACACAAATTTATTGCTCTAGGCCTTTTTGTCTACATTTGTCCTATCCTACTTTTTTCCCCCCTCTGTATCCCTAGGCTTATATTATTCCTATAACAACCAAGACACAAATAAAAATGCAAACAACTAACTCTTTATCTACTCTCATTTATCTCTAACTCTCTTAATGTGAGCTCTCACAAAGAAGGAAGGCGTGGAAAACTGCTAATATCTCAAGTGTCATTCCAAACCCTTCCCTTTCTTATTCTTTAATAAGACAGAATTTAATTACCTAAAAAAATCAAGAAAGAGGAAGAATTAAATAATATTTAATTTTAGGCAGTACAGAATAAAATACCTTTTAGGTAGGTATAGGATAAACAATTTCAGGTAGAAGAATAAATATCTTACATAGATAGTGTACTGTATAACTTCATAAAATAGCTGCTTCCAGATATAGTATATACTTTTTTTTTTTTGAGACAGGCTGGTCTTAAACTCACCACGTAGTCCAGTCTGGCCTTGAACTCATGGCAATCCTCCTGCCTCAGCCTCCCAAGTGCTGGGATTACAAGTGTGTGCCACCATGTCCAGCAGTATATACATTTTTTATTGATACTATCATAGACAGTCTTCTAAGCAAAACACTCAAGATAATTTAAATCTGAAATACACAAAAATTTGCATACCACTTCTTTAAGCTTTGCTTCAATTTCTTCAGAGGTTAGTTTTTTACTTAATGGCGTTTTTCTCAGCAACATGTCACAGTAATTGGCAAGCAACTCAGGACATTTTGATTCAGGCTGAGTTTTCAACCCCACTCTAAAAAACAAAAGCAAATGAAAAATGATTGATACTTATTTGCAAATTATTTTTTTTCTAAAGTCAATCCCCTGCCTCCAGTACTGGGGATCAAACTCAGGACCTTGAGTTTGCAAGGCAGGCAGGCACAACACCACTGAGCTAAATCCCCACCCTTTAAAGTCAATTCTAAAGCACTAATTTCCTATGTTAAGCACAAAAAATTCTCATGTTAAACAATCCTGTGATTAGGGCAGAATGTTTAGAGTTCATGATTTAAGGAGGCATTTACTCTTATCCCAAAAGTGCCAATACTACTTGTGCAGGACCTGAGAGTGGAAATCCCTAACAATTTTGTCCTCTGGGCTCCTTCTTGTTTCATTCTAATGTTGGCCATGCCAATGGCCTTTAGAAAATTTAACTCAGGGAGCTATTAAAATACTTTTGAAAACTATGTAAAGCTGTTAATATTTATAAATTAACATTTAAAACTTCTCATTATTATTAAGATAAATTTGTTACTTTACTCCTGAAATATATCTATCCGTGTGTGTGTGTGTGTGTGTGTGTGTGTATATATAT